CATCAGGCTCAGCCTGCTCCTCTCGTTGCTTCTGCTTGAATTTCATGCTGCCATGATGCATGACAGCACCGGTCAGTTTGTAGATACCCATTTTCTCTTCAGCAGTGAAGCCCAGGATATCAATAGCAGTCTGCACAGGAAACCCAAGTTTAGTTGCAATTAACAAGCATCAAATGGAAAAATCCCCAGAACACAATCACGTCATATTACATCTGTTGCGATGAACTCCTCCACATCATTGATGCTCTTGACAGTGATTTCACCCTGGCTGATCATTGGGTAGTCATAGGGGTTGGTGGTGATCAGGAGAGCCTCTGAAAAACAGCAGAGGAAGTGCATAAGAGGGTGAATAATATAATGGCCATTTGTATAAATCCATTATCTTACGTACCAATGAGCTCAGGCTTGTGGCCTGTCATCAGCTGATAGAAGATGTGGTAGCTCCTCTCAGCAGACAACTGGAAGGTGACACGAGACTTCTCCAGCAGATCTATAAATATGTGTTAGATGATGGTAAAAGATGATAAAACAATGCAAGGTACTAAATACATATACTAGTTGCCACAACAGATAATCAATAAAAACTTACACGTTTCAATATCAGCTGAGGCCAGCTTGCCAGTTGAGCCAAAGTGGATTCTGATGAATTTACCCTAAAGATGTACCAGGAAGTATTAGAGTCTGAGTTGCAATGTTCTAAAGAAAGTCTTACAGATAAACTGAACGACTACTTACAAAACGAGAGGAGTTGTCATTCCTCACAGTCTTGGCATTACCATAGGCTTCCAGCAAAGGATTAGCTGCAATGATTTGATCCTCCAGCGAACCCTACACACAGACACCATGTAGCAACATCAAACTAACAAACAAACCTCCATAGTGAACGCGCTTGGCAGTCATATTTACTTGTATTTTTCCTGATGATGCCTCTGATTTCTTTCCACCAGCCACTGCAATTGTTGCAAAGTACTGGATGACACGCTTGGTGTTGACAGTCTTCCCTGCACCGGATTCTCCACTGGGAATTGAAAAGCATTCATCTTTACTTAGCAAAATTAGTGTATTTAGATTTGAAATGTGTCTTGCTATACTCACGTAATAAGGATAGACTGGTTTTCACGATCTAGAAAACAAGCATATACACTTGTTTAACCGACATTAGCATCTTTATAACACTCCTGTCTTCGCTTCAGGCATAACTTCATCTTACCAGTAAGCATGAACTGATAGGCATTGTCAGAGATAGAGAAGATGTGGGGTGGAGCCTCCACTCTCTTCTTGCCTCTATACGCCCCAACAACCTGAGCATCGTACACTGGAAGCCACTTGTAGGGGTTCACAACGACACAGAACAGGCCAGAGTAGGTCTGTAAAGAGAACAGAGATGTTTTCAGATCTAATATGCAGGATAGTTTCAAACACACTGTACTGTAATATGAAACTAAAGCTCACGTAGATCATCCATGATGCAAAACGCTCTTTGAGGTTAAACAACACAGCAGGCTCATTCAGGTGGGTCATCATGGCCATGTCCTCAATTTTATCATACTTTGGCGGGTTCATTGGACAAATGTCGCTCTCTTTGACAGTGGTAGTCTGAATGAAAAAATAGAGTAAGTTAAAACACAAAATTTAGTATAAAGTAGAAGTATGACTGAATTATTTATGTGTTGGACACTTTAATGAAGACATGTATTGTTTTTTTTGTTTTGAATATGCTGCATTGTTAGATTAAAACTATTCACTTACCTTCCCTGTTAGTGTCTCTACTGTGGCTTTGCCACCCTCTCTTTTGACAAGTTTACCCTTGACATACATATCATCAGGATCAGTCACAAAGAAAGCTGATTTGGCGTCAAAAGGAGCTGTCTGGGATTCAATCCTCTCCTTTTCTGGCTTCCGGAGGTAAATGGCCGCCGGGCCAAACACCTCCATCTCTGCGTCTGAACTCATGGTTGCACTTTAAGTGGCTAAAAAAGAAAGTGGATCATCTCATATCTGTTTTACAAAAAAAATAACATCCCAATGTTATTTAAATTGTGAATGTTATTTAAATTAATTTGTGTACCTGCTTTGCCCCTTCTTGATGTCACAAGCCCCGTCTGTTTGACCCTATTGATAGATTTTCAACCATGAGAACCTTGCAAACAAATACATTTTTAAAAAAATGTTGTTGTTTTTTCAAATAGAATCCCTTGAGGATCACAAATAGATCTAAATCAGTGTAAGTGGATAACACAATTAAGCAGTTATGCCATTATGCACATGTTTCATAGTTTTTAAAACACTGAACATAAGAACACTAACCTGAGATGAAAGCCCTTCAGTTATTGTCAGAGTCTTAAGGGACCTCTTTTATAGAGGGAGGACTGCTTCCTCAGTAGGTGTGCCCAGCTCAATTTGGTCATGTATTCTTGTCATGTTGTCACTAATCCTGTGACATTGCCGTCTACAGTGATTTATTGCCTTGTAAGCACAATTGTGGATAGATAGATAGAAGTTTTATTATACTAGAAGCCAAAGAGAATGGTAATGGAGCGCAGTACTGAGATGTAGAAATATTTAATTGATGGATTAGAAAAACAATAGTTTTAAAAAAGATATTCTTAAACTCAACTGAAATTTTCTTTGATTTCATTGAAATGCTTTTATTGCTTTCTATTCGTTAATGAATGATCATACGAGACATTATTATAAATGAATTTATGACAAAAGTGTTATAGAATTGATAAATGTGAGCTCTTATTAAGTGTGTGCATTACCGGTCATTGTTTGGCTTTGAAGAGAAGCACAAGTTTAGAGATTAAAACTTAATGATTTTATGATGATGATGTATATAATGCATTAGGATTTCTGTTATAGTTTTTTAGTTATAATTACCTTTACTCTAAATTCATGTTTGGGGAAGCACTGACATGTAACTGATGTGTGTTGTGATTGGCATGTATTCCACCTTCAATACATAGAGGAACCATATTATCTAAAGACATATTGTGATTTACTCATTAGTTCTTCTGTTTTTTTTTATGAACATTTTTATTTGTTGCCTTTTTGTACTTTATGGGACTACATGTTTTTTTTGTTCAATCATTACCTTTGTTGGTCATGTTAAAAGCATGTTAACTATACAATATGTAGACATGTTTAAGTTTCTTCATAAACATGGATATCTGTCATCCATTGATTTCAATAAAGAGTCTAACTTTCTTAATCATCTCCAGTGTAAGTAATGAAAAACATATGGAAATATACCATTACCCTGGCCAGGGCTTTGGAGGAGCCTTTAAATGTCACTGGTATACAGTTGCAGTGCAGTCAGACATCTCAGCTGTCTGAAATAAAACGGAGGCTGAGTACCATTCCATGAAAGCTGAGGAGGGATTACATGTCATCTTGGAATGAAATGGATGAACAGTTGCTATCTAGGTTGGAATGAAACCAAAAATAAGTCCTAATGTCATTAAACAAAATGTTAAAGGTGCCAAAATTGTCTTAGTACCATACCGAAAACTGCACCTAGTATTTGTATTTTCAAAAATATGTGTGCTTGAATATAAAAAAGCAGTTTTTCGGTCTCACTTTGATCATTTTACAGGTAAATCATGAAGGTGTCATTTGTGGTTAAATTTACTTAACCTTCTTTGTTCAAAATAAATGACCTTGAAAAATGTCACCCATGTGATCACAAAAGGTTTGTGGGCTATTTCGCAAGTGTGTTGCACACCAACTATTCGAGGAAGGTCAAAACTTTTTCAGGGCAGCCTGAATAGCGCGTGTCAAAAGGGCATTTTCAGAACTTGTTGGGTCAAGCGTCTTCTTTTTTTTAAGTAGCTTTTTAAAATTATTGTGCTTAAAGGTAATACTCTGCATAGCAGATCAGTGTGGGTGTTATTTTTATACTCAGTAGACTTATGTATTAGTTATGCCTTTCATTTATATTTGAACAGTGTAGTATACAACACTTTTGTTCTTTTAAAGTTCTAAACCTGAATGCTTGTGACAAAGGGCATGCAAAGCTGTGTTCTCGGCTTCCTTGTGTACACAAAGGTCTTTGTGTCTCATCTCGGGTAACAAAAATGTAACAGCTGTTTCAAATTGTGTTAACTTCCATGCAAAGTCCCATGTTAAAAATGGCCCGAACAGTTGTTGCTTGAAAAAGTAGTGATTGATTAAAATAGTGAACCAGTTGAATTCTTTAGGTACCAAGGGCATAATTTAGTCTTGTAAGTCTATTTTTAGTCACATTAGAATGATTATAACCTAATTATATTCAAAGTATTTTACTGCAAAATCTTCTTACTTTTGCTTCCTTTTTACTGCCAAAGTCAGTACTGGCTTTAGCAGTACTTCCTAACGATTTTTTTTTTTAATGCAAATCAGAAATTACAGTATATGTTTTGTCCCAACTCGTTTTTTAGATTCACATGATCCGTTGTTAATCTAAGTGAAATAATTTAAAATGTGGCATTTTTATGAAAAATTCAAAATTGGATTTTCCTTATTTTCCTTAGTTTTTCCATAGTTTTTCATATGTATTATTAACCCTGCTGCCATGGAAGTCTATGGATGAGGGTCATGTGTTTCTTATCAAGTTAAGATGGGCACGTGTTGTCAGATGGTCCTAAATAGCCTTCTCCTTTTATGGCTTTGAGTCTGTAGATGTATATAGATTAGCCTTGTAGTAGGCTCTAAAACTGAAGTGAAACATGTCAAAAATGTCTTGGGAGGAGGAGCCAGGGAAGGTTTGAAAGTTGAAGGACGAAGTTGAAGCAGCATCAAAGGCGTTGAGGTCCCGCCCCTTTTTTTCCATTCGCCTGAAGCATTGTTGTTTCATAAATTGTTTTTTTTTTTTTTTTGGAAAGTCTTACATTATTTGATGTAGATACACAGAAGAGTACTTGTAGAACAGAAGATATTTGTGCTATGAAAGGAAATAACAATGCATGTTTTCTTCACACCATTTTGGCATGGCAAATCAGTGGCATGCTAAAAAGGTGTAGGGGCCAATTGGTTTAGTCTGATACATGACACTGTCTTTTTTTCTGAACAAAGGAAGCTGCCTTTGCATCAAATGTCTTCAGGGTCCCTCCCTTGCTGTTGTCTACACACATAGCGGTGCCTGAACCAATTCCTAAAAATATCTCTGCAAACATATGGACATCTTGTAGAGCACAATGTTCATACACATAGTAACAACCCATTAGTTGATACACACAAGTGTTGCTGGACTAATAGGTTCTTCTTCCTTCCTGACTATTTCTTCATGACTGATATAGCCTATAAATAATTTCCACTGTATCCAAAACATTATGTTGTTTTCTTTTTGTTTTGTTTTTCATTTTTACTGTTTTGGGAATGATCCTGTACCCAAACTGTTTATTGGTATTGTATAAATACATATAACAGGATGTTTGTAAAAGTAAATAAAAACATTTAAAGAAATTAAAGTAAAAGAAGATGACAAAGGTCCAAATTGCTGTCAAGAATATATTGATTTGATATATACATGCCACAACAGATATTTCATATTTTATGAACACTGTTTAGTGGTCCATCCAACGTTTTCTTCTTCTCAGCGGAATCAGACTGAAATAAAGAAATTAGGAAAAATGTTGGTTAGTAATTGAAAATAATATTCGTATATTCGTTTCCACTTAGGTTACTTTTGCTTGAGTCCTGCTCTGTTTTCAAATAAACTCATCAGCACCATGTTTACAAATGCGCTCTGTTGGCAAATAGAACCGAAAATGAATTCATACTTTTATTGGACTTGCATTAAGTTTTACTGAGTGTCACATTGCTGAACCCTCAGTGCACTGAGCACTTGAGCCAAAGAGTAGCCACAAGAGAGCGCTTGAATTCTTGTGATGGTCAGTGCCTTATAGTAAGCCAATTGTCATTCCACAACAGTGAGTCTAGCTATTTCAAGTATCGCTGGCTAATTTCTAGGCCTCAACATCATGTAAAATATCTATTTGTAAGTGGCTGCTTTGAACGAAGTACATTCAAAGAATGTTATTCGCAGTAGTGATATCACATATTTAATAATTCTAGTCAATAATATATTTAGAAGTTCATTTAAAGACCATCAAGTGAAGTAATTTGGAAAGATTTCACTGAAATGGTTTGCCCAAAAGTAAAACTTTTGTTACATAGATAAAATAAAAGGCAGGACAGAACTTGAAAAATAAGTATTCAGCTGTCTGGATAGGAAATTACCTTTCCATGAATATCCAAGATTTACAGACCTGGTAGGTCAGCTCCTTCACTCTCCTCTCATATTTGCGGACTCCTTTAACAGCATCAGCTCCACGTCTCTGCTCATAGTCAACTTCAGCTTCCAGCTCACGCACCTGTTCAAAGATGACACATTTTTAAAGGTTTTATTATTTAGAAATGGTAACAAATTATTCATTTGTTGTGAGCACTCCCAGTTTTCTAATGTTCCTACCCTGGACTCCAGTTTCTGGAGCTGCTTCTTGCCACCCTTCATGGCGAGGTTCTCAGCCTCATCCAGACGATGCTGGAGGTCCTTGACTGTGACCTCCAGGTTCTTCTTCATCCTCTCCAGGTGAGCGCTGGTGTCCTGCTCTTTCTTCAGCTCCTCAGCCATCATGGCAGCCTGAGATGATAAAAGGTTTCCTCAATTAGCACTGAAAAGTAAAAACTCTACAGCATGAAGCTGATACATAAGTCGTCATTGAGCTTTAAACTTACATCAGTGATAGCCTTTTTTGGCTTTCTCCTCACCGTTTCTATCTTCCTGAACAGCATCACCTCACCCTGAACCTGGACATGGTCAGCCTCCAGCTTCTTCTTGGTGCTCAGAAGGCTGGTGTTCTGAATATTTAAAACATATAATCATGTGAATGAAGATACAACAAAGTATAATCAATATTTTGTATGCCCATTTAAAATGAAAAGGCCGACCTGTGTGTGAAGCATTCCAACACGCTCACTAGCATCAACCAACTCCTGTTCAGCCACTTTGCGTCCTCTCTCCGTTTGTGCCAGCGCTGCTCTCAGCTCCTCAATCTCAGCCAACTGAGATTGAAGGTGGCAATCTGTACCAGATTCTCCACTGGGTTGCAAAAGATATAATTTTTGTTTCATAATTATCTTATACTTTTATGTGTTTTCGGTTGTCAGTTAATGTTATACTCACGTAATCAAGACAGACTGATTCTCACGATCTGAAACAGAAACAAGCACGCTTTATTAATCCATCCATTTTCTATAGTTCCTAGTAAGGTCATCTTGGGGTCTTGAGCCTTTCAGAACTGTCACTGACTTAAAATCAACAATTAAACAAAGATTTCTTTTGACTGTGAGTGGAGAACAAAGTTCGTAGAGAACTCACACATAAATTATCAAATCTTTACATTCATTCAGAGGAAGGCCCTTTGACCCGAGGGATTCCAACTGATGTGAGGCAACGTTGCCAACCACCACACCACCATGCTGTACCCATGCAAGTGGAGTTCCAATTTCGTTGTTCCTGTGACATACTTAAACCTAATAACTTTAAAAAAAAGATGCTTTGAGGTTAATTTAACTTATTTCCATTCCAAAAGTTAACTTTGGTCTTACCAGTTAGCATGAACTGATAGGCGTTGTCAGAGATGGAGAAGATGTGGGGTGGAGCTTCAATCCTCTTCTTGCCTCTGTATGCTGCCACACATACTGCATCATACAAAAGGAGTTGTTTGTAGGGATTCACGACCACACAGAACAACCCAAAGTAGGTCTAAAATAAACAATAAACATGTTCTTAACATTTATACATATGCATTATAATATGTTGTTTAGGACTTCCAGATAATCATGATGCCAACATCACCCACAATTCAATCAATGTAAAAACTCACGTAGATCATCCATGATTAATCATTAAGATGGGTCATCATGGCCATGTCCTCCATCTTATTGAACTTTGGAGGATTTCTGGGATGGACATCGTCCTCTTTTACAGTCGAAGTCTGAATAACGAGAAGTGAGTTTCACGAAGGATAAGAACATCATCAGCTTTTACAAAGATGGTCAATGAGTATCGTTGTCTGCATATGTTTAAGTTACATGATTTTGAATAATGTCTTCATCCAAAAAGTATAAAAAAAATGTACCTGTTATAGACATCCATAACAAAGACCACAATGTCTGGTCCATACCTTTCTTCCATCCGTTTCAACAGTGGCTTTGCCAGCTTCCTTCTTGGTCAGCTTTCCCTTGAAATACATCTCATCATTATCGATGACAAAAACAGCAGTTTTTTGCATCAAATGGAGCAGTCTGAGCCTCAATCCTCTCCTTCTCTGGCTTCCGGAGGTAAATGGCCGCCGGGCCATACTGCTCCATCTCCGCATCTGTGCTCATGATGTCACTTTGATTGGAAGCTGAAAACATGCGAGATTCCAATGTAATAATGAAGTTGCTTAATCGCAATGTATACTGAGCCGCATCACAGTTGTCTTGTTGAATTTACCTCAGCTGAGTCAAGAAGGAAATGCTGGTATCCTATGCCAAGTTATTACAATAAAACCAGTGTAAGCTTTCCATTGTTAACATTTACGGCAAATTAATACACATAATGAATAAACATAATGTGTATTCTTACAAAGTAGTAAAATCATTACATTTTAAAGAATCTCTGATTTTAAACCGAAATTAGAAATGTAAGAATGCTGTTTGACAAAACACAGAAAAGTTTACTGCACTCACCTGTGTTAGATGCCTATCAGTTAGAGCAAATGTGCAGGGCAGCTGTTTTTATATACAACGGCTCTGCTTCCTCAGCAAATGTGCCTCAACCAATTTGGTCAGGCATTCTTGACACCTTGTTGCTTGATATTGATGCTGTCAAAAATAACGACATGATCATGTTTCATTCAGCATTACACAATGTTTGGATTAATTATCCGTACATGTTTATGATAACAAATTCTTTATAGGACTATGTAAATATTTGTATTCTTAATTATTACTATTAATACATTGGTTTATATTTGACAGTTTTCACAATTGATATCTCTCTATATCTCCTTTGCTGCAGCATTGATCAGTTTGGTTGTTTAGCTGTTCATTTCTTTGATAGATTTACCTTCTTTCTTTCCTTCTTTAATGTTGCAGAATTAAAAATTTGAATTTATACTGTAACCAAGCCAGTAATATTCTCAGTTTACCCAGGAGTAAATAGGAAAAGCGTGCTGCATTGTTTGGAGATAATTTTTTTATTGATCTTGAGGGTGAAAGGATTTTAGTTTAACACAGTTTATGTAAGGCATTGGTGTGTTCTATTCATTCTTATATCCCAGCCATTTGAAAGATTGAGATAGAGAGAGGTATTAAAATGCCAGTGGAGTTTAGTTGCAAGACATACAAATCTCAGACATCTGAAATGAAATTCTGTTTAATGGCTTTTCCATTTGCACAGAATGGGTCTTGTGTAGCTCTAATACCTTTTAGG